GGAAAAAAAAAGCGAAAGAGGAAGAGGAAGAGGAAGAAGAAGCAGCAGATAAGGACCAGGTGGTGTGTCGGGCTCGGCAACGCCGTTGGCTGGCTGAAGTCAAATACACTTAATCTTCCAACCACGAAGCCAAGAAACCATGATTGTGTAGGTGTGTTTCCCGGACGTTGGGCCAGTTTCCCAAATAAGTAATTGGGCGTTATGTCCAGAGTCATTCGCACATCAGAACCAGATGTGTTTCACAAGTGTTCATGAATAGAGCATTGAAACAACTATAGGTACTCTAATATAACAGTCACAAGACACTCAGCCCCCAAATGCATGCTATGAATTGGTCAGATCCTTGTCAAGGTCTAGATCAGGTTTTGTTGCTTCGGGATAGGCATAACAACCGTTTGTTATTACTTTCCGTCGGGACGGGCAGATCAGGCAGCTACACTATGGAGTACGGAAGAGGAGTCTAGGCTGTCATAGTAGGAAGAACATTAATTGTCGAAGAGGGGGCCATAATAATATTGATAATAGAAATGGATCGAAACAACTTTAAACTATGGTCGCCGATAATCAACTTGGAACGAAGAAAAGCTCCCCGATCCATGCACCAAGCTGCATATATCTGACGATCACAGAGATTTGCGCCAGCCTCAATGCTCGCGCCCTCTCTTCGCCTCCCAATGAATTATGAGAACACACCAACAATGATAAATTGATGGTGACTAGTACTCCGTAATTGCAGCAACTCATGGCTCCTCCCTGCCTCCTTTTCCACCTATGAGGACAAACACCCAGACATAGACGTTGATAGCTCTCGAATTCGTTGAGCTGCTAATTTACGAATATGGGCACTAGAACCCCACAAAATAGATTAAAACCCGCTTGCACAAGACCAGAATGGCAGCAAGCCCACAAGCAGATCGTGTTTGTTGTAACTCGGGTTTCTTGCGGCGGGTCGAAACAGATCAAATTCCCTTTCCTCCTTATCGTATTCTGACCGAAGCCGAGGAAGGTTCTGGATCGTTTCAAAGTTCTTCAGCCCATGAACTAGGACTTGTTTGGGGTCACTATCGTTGATATGTCATAATGCCCCAGAAGCTGAAAGAACAGACGATGTGGCTTTGTTTTTCTGTCTTTCGATCCATAAGTGGGTGGACATAGTTTCAGCTGTCAGGCTGACCTTCGATCTTGTATGGGGCAATTTAGATAGATTACATGTTTAGCAATTTTAGGACAAGACCAATGAAGGTTTAACAGTCAATCAAGACAGCTGTCACTCTGTTTCCTTTCAATATCATTTTAATATAGTTTGATAAATTAAACAATAATATATCGTGTTAATACGACAAGGAGGTCGCAAGTAGGGGTGAAGGGGAGCAAGAGCACACGATATAGTGAAGTTGATGGATACAGAGACATCATATATTTGCATACTCTAGCAGATTACTGCGCTCAATTACGATGTTGTCTTTGTCATATCAGGCCATGTCATTTCGTGACAGCAGCCATTATTTCGAGGGGTGGGGTGTCAAGGGGAAATCGTGTAACGGTTTATTCTTGTCTAGTCCCCACATACAAGCAGCAGCAGCCTCGTTCTTCTTTTTTGTCCGCTATTCTTGTTCACTCGCTTGAGTAATTGGTTACTGAGGGAGCAAGAAGGCTTGTGTTGATGTGGATAAGTGTCGAGTCACCGATGATAACAAGTCAATTCCTCTCTTCCATCGAAACACAAGGCACTAGGACTTGACAAGGTCATGATTAGTACCGGTAAGGTTACGGAGACTCAGGTTACTAGGTATTAGCTACAAACATGGGCTTTACTTGATCCTACTTATCTTCACCCACACAATACATTTGTCACAAAGGGGGTTGTGGATGAAGAAGCCTGAGTAACGAAAAACCTGGGTAATAGACTACGTCACGCTGGGCAGGCTACGAAAGAGCAAGATAGCAAAAAAATTGAAAATAAGGGAAAAAAAAAGCAACCACCTCCTTCCGACCGACCCCATGTTTTCTCTTCTCTCTCCCTAAAACGGGAAAGTGCGGCGCTAACACTCGAGAATTCCAAATCAATTGCAACTGTGAGGATCGGCGGGAATTAGCGCAGCCCATCTCTTGGCCGTGCAAGGCTCTAGAGAACTACTACTACGTAACTGGACTACTTACTTTACTGTACAGTATGTATCTTAGGAGTATGTATGTACTCCGTACCAGAGATCAATTTCTGTCTTGTACGAAGTAGAATCATCAGCTCTTCAGGTTGTGAAGTGCTTTCCCGCTCGTGCTCAGTTGCGGACAATTGTCACTGAACCTTTTACTGAATGTCATTGTTGCCGTTGCTATATTTGTACTTTGTTGAAACAGGGAAAAGGATTTCACTCCAAACGGTCGACACTTCTCTTTCTATCCTTTCCGCTCATTCGCTTTTTTTTTTTTTTTTTTTTTCTTCATTCTTCTCCCGCTTGTGCTTTCTCTATATATATGCCCCCCCACTAGGCGGTTCGCATGTTTTAACACCCCGTGTAACTGTAGATGTTACTCGAGACCCCGGTTCTGATGTGTCCTCGTCAACTTATGTATACACCTACATGGGTAGGAACCTTGCGTGACAGCAATATTTACTACGCTTATCTAAAGGTATAACGAGGCACTAACATAGACAATGTATAGGTATGCACTGTCATGTGTACGCGGTGGAATAATTGGATATGGCCTAGACCAAATAACAAATGGTGACGAATCGTGGTGGGCGGGATAGTGACTTATCGTAGATCAGTCATTGAAGCCGATTAGCCGGGGTGGTATCCGTAAGTGGAGGAATGCACACAACATCAAAAAATGTATATCAACTTTTAAATGGCTCAAGGCAAAACGGCGGCGGAGGGTGGGGGTCGAAGGCAGTTTGTTCGAAGCACACTTACAGATGGAATGAACTACTTACCTATCATCATATCGGTAAGGCTCCCAAGTGCACAGTCCAAGGCTAACTGGCCTGAAGCAGACTGGCTGAAACGGGACCAAAGTTGAAAGACGACCAGAAAGAGAAAAGGACAACGGGCAAGCCCCCGCCAGGAGAATCCATGCAGACTATTAAGTATACGACATCCGGACCTCGGGCTCAATGGTCAACATGCCAGGTTTCCGCTCCCCCACTTGGGGACGGAGAAAGGTCCAGACGTTCATGAGTCAGGCGTAGGGTGTTTCCTTGATCATTATGCAGTCAGCGAATGTGTGTTTCTGAGGGGAATGTAGCTCCATGCAGTGGCGAGTCAGTCAGGTAGTGGTAGGGAGCCATGTCCTTTCCCATGCTTGGTCTATCAGGACCGTATCTAAATGGGAATAACGAGGACGCGCTACCGGGTTGAGGCAGCCAGGTGGGTGGTGGCACATGAGAGCCGAGTGCGAAGAGACATTCCTGTGGCGGAACGGGGATCCTTTTGCCTATTCTTCACTTGTCCCCTGTACATCTCCTTTGCTACTCTCCTTGACGTCGCTCATGCCATGTCTCCACCAAGACAGGGATGAATGGTTGAGACGTTCTTGAGCCGAGATAGAGGGACAACAGTAAGGTTAACGTGGTCCGCTAGGATGCTTTCTCCTCCCTTCAAGGCTGAGAGCGGGAAATAGGATCTTATGCAGCCACTTGCGAATATGCAGTTCGCTCCATCTGATCAAGGTCAATATTTAAGCAGGAGCGAGACCGCGGCCGATCCGTCTCCCAAACGTTAGCGACCAAGAGAGGTAGAGTGTGAAAAAGGATGGCCAGGGAGGGGCACTAACGAATCATCCAAGCCTTTTCGTCCAAAGTCAATCACAGTTCGGCCAGTCCCTGGATAAACTTTCTCTGGGTTATCAACCTTACCTCCCCGAGCATCCTGAATGGGGCCAATCCACACACCCACTTTCGCCATTTAGAAGGGAAGCGGGTGAGCATCCGGCCATTATGTAGCAGTCGGGTCATGCATGAACCACCCATCCATTCACAGATATGCTCATTGACCAGTTGAAAAGACGAGGGGGTAAGTGGAGGGAGGGATTGGCTCTGGATGGTTGTCAGCTGCGTCTCTCGATGGACCTATCGATCCCCAACTCCTTGCAAAAGACCATGTATGGGGAGGATGTACAGTACACGAAATCTATCCTCTCGGATTCTTTCTCTTGCTCTTCATTCAATTGTTTTGGGTTCTGTCTCTTTTTTTGCTCTATTCTCGGAATTTGCAAATGTTCATAAGTCGTGTCAGTAATCCATCCCGCGGGTTGCTCGGCTCAATTTGCTCTGACTCCCCGAATCTCGTTGCCTCGTCTTTTCCTTTTGTCGCCTCCTCGTAAGTCGTGCGCCGCCCCTTGCGCGTGAGCTCGTGAGCCCACGACCGTTGGCTGGCGAAGAATGGGCTGATGACAGCCAGCCACCTGGATGATGGATAAGCTGTGTTGCGGGACTGGCATTCTTGGCCCTTCCCATTCGTTGCAAGTCCGCTCTTTCTTCGAACCGCGCAACGGTCGAGATGGCGCTTCCAGTGAACATTTCCGGGCAAAATCATCCGATTATACGCGATGCTCCGAGTGGAAATGTTGATTTAGACGAGGGAAAACTTAGGAGAGTACTTAGTATTAAGGTATTATTGGATGTAATAATAGTAGTAGAAATGCTCTTCCTGCGCGTGACATAATGTAACAAGCAAAACAATCATGGGGTATTATTAAGTCCAAGCTCACACAACATGGCCGAAAGAACCAAAATCCAACACATACATAGAGCAAAACACAGTCTTCAGATTTGGGTCCGCTCTATACCCAGAAATCCTCACCACAGTTATCGAGTCATCGGTAAACAAAGGAGAGGAACAGACAGAACAGAGATAAAAAAAGAAAAAACAGAGTTCTCCCGAAGACTTTTGGTACCGTAAGTGAGCCAGTTCGGTCGCTTGCCACGTGACCCGCCGTGGAGATAAGCCCGAACCATGGATGAGAAACAATGTACATGGTATAGATACAAAGGAAAAAAACGATGCAGGAAAGAGTGACAAGGGTCGGTCGGGGTTTCGTGATGAAATTAAAGGAGTCATGGGATCATTCTCAGTAAGTCAACAAAAGGACCGTCGTGGATCAATTGAGTAGGTTTTGAAGACCCATGCGAGCATCGCGCGGCGACCCGGTCTTGTCTTCTGAAGAGACAGACCAGGCAGGCGATAACGAGGTCGGTCGATTCCAAGGTTGATAGTCGGAGATCCATCGTTGCTTGAGAGATAGATCTGAGATAGACTCCCGTGTCTTAGGTCCGTAGTAAGAATTGGGTAGGTAGCTCTCATCGGTGGTTTGCATAGACGATGCACTTTGCCTGCGAGAATCACCATAGAGAGGTCTCATGTCCACCGGGAAAGGAAGAAGCTGAGGAGACGCGACGGTTCTGGGCGAGGAAGAGATAGAGTTGCGATCTGACATCATTGATGGGGGCTCCATTGACGGGGCGTCGGAGTATGTGGGCGAAGTCAGAGGCGTCTCGACCGGGCGATTGAGGGCGGGAAGGGTGAAGATAGGCGTCAATTGCCGGGGGCAGTCCATGGAAGATGCTGAAAAGGATTCCCGGCGAGAAGAGGGAGATTTCGTCCAGGAGGTCATTGGTCTCTCGCTAGAGATGGAGGAGTAGCGGGATCGGCTAACAGGGCTGCTCAAGCCCAAAGATGTCCGCGCATAGGGAGCTTCAACCCGTCCATGAAAAGTACGTCCCGAAAGAGCAGAACCAGTAGTGGGCAGGCCTCTTCTCTTCCGGTTCATACTGCCATTCCACCAGTTCTTGACCGCATTGTCGCTACGATTCCCCAGACGTCGGGCGATCTCAGCCCACCGCTTGCCCATCTCATTCACCATGCGCTCGATCATCAAGCCTTCTTCAGCCGAGATCGGCTCGCGGTTCAATGAGGGTTTGAGGTTTTGGTGAAATCGCTCGCGACATTGCTTAGGAGAGCGGTAGTGCATGTGCTGAGAGATCCGGACCCAGTTGTTGGGGCCTTGTTCGCGAACCAACTGCAGTAGTAGCTGATCTTCCTCAGGGACCCAAGGTCCACGACGATGAGTAGGGGCCATTGTGAACGGAACTGCCAGAGGCGGCTAGCTATGGATGTTAAGAGGATTTTAGATTGAGTTACTGTAAGGTAGAGATTAGACTTGCGTCATGATATATGGATCAGGAAGAATATGGTTTTGAGTGTTGGGACGATTAAGTCAAAAGGCAGCTTGTGGGAGAAGGAAAACGAGCAGACATTTTGAGTGCTGGTGAGGGTGGGTGGGAGATGGCTCAAGAGTAAAATAGTGAAGGGTGTCTTACCGTGGGGTGGTGTATTGTAGTGCAGTTATGGTGAAGTACTACTACTAGTATTGGGTAGTAGGTAGTCAAGTGGTAGCCGTGCACAAGACTAGACCAACGGAACAACAGCAAACGTGGACCGCTGGAAAGTAGGCGAGGAGTAAGGAGCAATGGCCACAGATCTAAGCAGCTGGGTATTGTAAGTCGTGAGAGGGTAGAGGATTGGGGATTGAATGGCTTTGAGAATGGTTTGTTCAGGAAAATAAGGTTCGAAGGTGCGTCCCTGAGATGGTAGATATAGGATGCGAGGGGACTTTAAAGATGTTGACAAGGACGGTTGACAATAGTCAAGTAAAGGAGGGAAGGAGCTGGAGAAAGGTTACGATCTTCTATTATAGCAACAAGCAGCAACAGAAGGATACAATGACCAGGAAGACGGGTCAGAGAAAAATGGGTTACTGCTCCACACCTACAGCACGCTATAGGAGAAGATCTGATCCAAGATCTCGGAGCTGACAGTTATCGGAGGAATAATTTTTTTATATTTTTTTTCTGAAAAGAAAAAGATTTTCAGTAAATAAAAGGTGGTTATTATTATTGTCGATTTTAGTTTGGTTTTCGTGTTTACCTTTTTTTTTTCTTTTCCCTCTTGTTACTCTTAGTATCTTTCATTCCTTACCTGACCGAAAAGTATGACGAGTATGTATGGTAATACATTACTCGTGGTAAAAGAGTAAGTTACACTAGCTATCCGACACGCTTAACAGTAGTCAGTCTTAGGCAGGTACCACCGCCCACCGGGCAAGGAGGCAGAGCTCGTCCAGGTGCTAGTATTAAGGCACAGACCTATCAAAGAGGCTAGATCGCTTGATCAATCGAGTTTCTCATCCTGCTATATACAGCATTCGTCCCGGTCAACAAACATTGTATCTACTTACCTAACCATAATCACACAGAAGCGATCATATTACTACATTGACCTGGACTTGAACGATGGCCTTGATCTAGCGGTTAAGGACTATCTCCTGCAGTATCTTCTTTAGGAAACATTGGACCCATCATTGACAGGGAAACGAAACAACCACGCGGCTGAAAAAGCAAGCAAGACAGCTATCAGCTGCTGCTGCAGCTGGCGTTTCTGAGTCGTGGGGAAGATTTGCCACTATCCCAGACACTGACGGGCTTTACCACAGGATCGGGTGTTGCAGCAGGGATATTGACTGTGCCTGTCGCTGGCCCGAGTGAGGCACCGCTGCAGCTCTATGCAGCTTCTGTTCTATTCTGGACGCTTGCTTTTATTTTTTGAAATCCCTCCTCTCTTGTTGCACCGACCGACTCGTGTAAGAGGCAGAGACCGCCTGAGACGTCCAGGAGGTGTCAACAAATCCACCTCAATCGTATCTAGAGCAAAGCTGTTTTGGTTAACAGGAGCTCCGCTATAGTAGCGAAGCAACTACATAGAGCATTGAGCATTGTCTGAACTGAAGTTCTTTGCTGCGAGCAATATCTTTCTGGGGCGCTTACTCGCATGGTACACCCTGGTAATATGATCTTCGCTAGTTCTATATATCCCAGGGTAATGATTTAGCTCCGTCCAGGACCCTCATCACTCTTTCACTCTCCCCCTTTTGTTGTAGTTTCCAAAAGTGTAAGAAAGTAGAGCCAGAACACTGCTTAGGTCGGACGACACCTGACATAATCGATGGCCTGACTTTGCGCTATTCCCCACCTTGGCAGTAGTTACCATGTAAAAGTCCATACACACTTGGTAGACTTTCCGCTCTCATGGCGGTCTGCAATCATAAGCCATCTATCGACTGAGGCGAAGTGAGCAGCTGCAGATTGGCCCACGCCTGTCTTAATCTCAGGCGGCCCTGACAGAAGTAACGGGGGCGGCGAAAACGGCCAAATGTACAGCAGGCAGATGCGAGGAGGAAGGGGGCAAGTGATGGTCATACACGTCGAATGCAGCATGTCATGGATCCTGCGGGGCGGGCTCCTCCGGGGACCATGAATAACAAACTACAAACGACCAGAGGAAGGCGGAGAGGATTGACAGGGAACAAGGGAGTAGGTAAAAATAAACCAGGGAACAGAATTCGAAACCATCGTTGCATCCTGCCATTGCCCCTTCCGCCCGCATGATGAATGATGGTGTTGAGCTGCTGCGCCAACATCATGGGCGACGAGCCCATTCAGGGTTAATCTAGGTCGGCGAAACAAGAAACCCAGAGGAAGCAGAGCGGAATTAGGATGGATCCACCACACTAATGATATTGGGCAGTGACAGATCGGGCCATGCATGAGGGATGAATCTATGGATGGATTTTTTCCTACTACGGGATACGTACGTACTACCTTTGGGACTGAAATTCGGTAAGTTGATGGAGGGAATGTGCCATTTTGGTAGGGAGGTGCGGAATTGATTACTGAATCATTAAGCAACCAACCCTACTTAGTTATTGGCGGCTACAGAATGGATATTACACATCAATACCATCCTAGAAACAGAAGGCGCATGTCTCTGCAAGAGGAAATCGAACCCAGCTTCCATCAATGAGTTCAGCCAGCCATCAGAATGCTTCAGGGCCGCTGCAATAACAACTTTGAAAGGTAACTAATCTATTTTCCTTCCCGCTCCGTCCTTGATCTCTCCACTTCTTCCACCCCCTCCTCCTTCTCCCTCTCTGTCCCGTGGACCGTTATCCAGAACTTGAACTCGAACTGTTTTGAGTGGAGGTCTTATGATTGGCGCAAACCAACCTTGACAATTTGGAATCCTTTTATTTGGTCTTATACCTTTTCCGGCTGGGATCGACATTCAGATCGCGCACAATGATTTCTGGGACAGACAGATATTCGGGGACCTTAACTAATCCTGTCTCCAGCAGCACATCCTTAGTCATGCTTGACATAAGACTCCGTTCCTCCTTCCTCTACCAGGTACTTGGTAACCTATACCATAGGTGGGTTAAACTATGCCGCTCACCCCCTGGTTTCAACGGTGTGTCCGCTGCTCATTACGCACAGCTGCCAGTAAGCTTCTCGATCCGGCGTCCCGTCGTGCCAAATACACGGGACAGTCGACCATTTCCCTGGTTCAGTTATGTTTGGTTGACGGTACGCCGTACTGCTGCAGACTTGAAGATACCCGATGACTAAATTCCACTCACATCTCCTCTTTTCAACCTGTCGTACTTTTCATAGCTGGATTTCTTTTCCGATGCAGGCGCATAGTTTACTTTAGTCGTGGAGGTTCGAGCACCGGGTGAATGCCTCCATTTAGGGGCACAATTGGTGGGGAAGCGGGCTGCTTGCAATATCGCAAATACCACCACCAATCTCGAAGAAAAAGCCTTCCCCCCAAACGACAAGAAAGGAAAAAGAAAAGAAGGAAAAGTAGGAAAGAAAAAGAAAAATCAATATTTCCGGCGGCTTCGGTCCAATCAGCAAGTCAAGCCCAGGATCATGACTCACGTTTGGCTGCAGGGTTCTTTTTTCCGGGCCCCTTAGCTTCTCGGGCATGTTCTCTTGTATCGCATCTGCAGTCGAAGGATGATAGATCTCATCGAATAATCCAGGATTTCCCCTATTTGGCCCTCGTTAAGCCAGTGTGATAGACACATGTATGGCTGGCTCCTGAGGATTGCGAGTGGCCTGCCATCTCAAGGCTAGCTTTGATCGGTGCTGCACATTGTTGCGAAAGACATACGCAGTCACCGCTGATTACCAAGGGATACTACTCCATCCCACTCGCTCGCACCCCGCCGCCGCCGCACAGGAGACATAAAACCGGCAACTAGTATACGGGGACCACGATCATCCGGGGAAGCCGGAAGATTTGAAATCTGTCATGGAGGACGGAAGTACCACAGCCAGCCATTCAGGAGATGTTGCCTACGCATCGGAAGTGTTCTAATCAAGCGGCGGCGCCTGTCCCGCTGTCATGCTGACGGGACTAAGAAGCTAACGTCAACCCTTTTTTGCAACTATGGTCCACTAGCACCTCGCTTCTCAAAGACTTTTAACCTGCTTGATGGCGAAGATGTGGTTCTCTATACCAATATTGTCCGATTAAGATCTATGATGATTGCAATTGGTCGATCTGAAGTGATCGAAGCTTGCTTATTGAGAATGGTCCTCGGTCGTGGGACCAGCGTGGGATATAAGCGGAGAAAGGTGGATAAGGTGAGTCGATCTTATCCAGATCATGGCGCAGTTATCATCATCATTGTCATCGACAATCATGAGCAATCGTGAGGTAGTGCAGTCGGCAAAAAAGAAAAGAGCGATCGTTGCTCTTCTCCGTTCGCGTGGGTTTCAGATCACAGGACGCATCGCCCACTCTCCGGCCATAGAATGTCCCCAAAAATTTCCTCCTTCCCCAGCCTTATTTCGGTAAACTCTTAACGCGGGCGCAACCTAGAAAAGACAAAACAGAAATTCTCCGTGAAGCGAGATCGTCGTTACCTAGAGGTCGCCTGTGTGCTCAATTAAAGATTTGCAGCACAGAGCAGCGGATGATCCCCCTTCCCTTCTCCCTCTTTAGCTGGAGTCCAGTCTATCGACCGAAAGATGGATATCTACCCTCACTGACTGGTTGTCATCTGAGACAACCTTCTGACCGAAAGTCAACTTGCGACTGTCGCAGCTCGCAACCAGACAGTGTCCCCATCTTCTCGAGCATCAGCTAGGCAGCTGAGCCACGCATAGGTCACAAAACGATAGCGCTTTTCAGGGGAACGCCACGAGTTGGGGGCAACCGTTGAACCATTGTAGGAAAGAGGAGGAGAGATGGATTATCCGATCGGATGAATGTCATTATTACCTACCCGTCATACAGCGCATGGGAAGTTTGGTACCTTGCAAGGAACTTACCCATAGCTTGTTTTCCGAGCCGAAAATGCAAAACAGGAGACTAGACAGAAAAACTGAATGCATGAACCCCTGAGCCACACATGACGTGACGAACCATTGCTTCGATCAGCCATCTTCACAAGCTGATTGGTTTGCCGTATAAAGATATTTGTCATTCTGGAGCCTTCAGAGCTAGACCGAATCAGGGAATGATAAACGGGAATCCATAAGCCTTCAGATCGGATGTATGTATCTCGATCCCATGGACCCATTAGGTAGAGAG